TCTGCTGCATGATTTTGCACACTGGTGCTATTTTAGTTGAAAATGTGCATCATGGTGATTCACTTTGCAGTGACTAACAAGAGTTATAGATGGTGTTGTGTGCATGTCAGGTGGAGAAGATGAATCTTTGACCCCTTCTACACATACATTTTCTAAAATTTTTCTATATTTGACAGTGCTGTTTCAGCTGCATTGATATTATATTGCTGCTGTAGACAGACGGGCTGCTGGTGTTTCCAATGTGGTGCTCAGTTTGGAGCAGAAATATACGACTGACGAAAATGCCAGCATCCCGTCTTGGGCTTTTGGCATTGCTCGTACCATTGGAAATATGCCATTAGCAGCAATTTTTGGAATACTTTAGAAATCGTCCATATTCTTAATGAGGCTTACACAGTGTTTCTCATGGATGAAGCTTTAAGTGTTGATGGAATTGTATTTGTACTTGAAATAAATAGTATAGACTTCTGGTACTCCTCACAAGCCAACAGAAAAATGTGACTGGTGGAATGTGCTGCTATGGGTCTTGAGTGTAACGAATCTCAGTTTATTGTAGTAAGGTAGATGAAAGGTCACAAAGTGGTGGAGTGACTGAAATCTACAGCCTCCAATTTGAGTAGTGTATAGTAGGGCTGTGCGAAGCTTTGGGTGATGATTTGATCTGGAGGAGATTCGGCCCGATTCGGTGGCCGAATCTCTGAATCCGAATCGAATCAGGGGACCAATTTAAAGGTCCGAATCTATTTCAAAGCTCCCCGAATTGTTGGAAAAGATTTGGAGAGCTTTGATGATTTGGGCAGTCCCTGGTGGCCACAGCAGGGAGCTGCAGCTGACTCTGAGCTGGTAAGTACTAGGGGGGGAGAAGGGGGGGCTGGGGGAAGGGACCCCTTCCAGCCCCCCACACCTGCTCCCCAGCCTGCCCCAGCTCCCGGCCCTTTAAAGAAAAGCCCCAGTGCTCACCAGGTGCTGCTGGGCGGGGGACGATCCCTGCTGCCCCCCACTGCCCCACACTGCATGGGGGGCTGCATGAGCCCCCCAACTCCCCCCCCAACCTTCGCTCCCCCAGTCCCGTCACGGGTGCCCTGACCCTTTAACAATAAAAAAAGCTGAGAAAAGCCCTGGGACTCTCCGCTCCTGCAGCAGCCTTGGGGCTTCAGGGGCTTGTGCAGAGCCCCCCACGTGGCACAGAGCAGTGGTGGGCAGCTTGGATCGCCCCCCCCTGCTGGCAGAAGCGGTAAGTGTGGGCTTTTTTCATTTTTCTTTCCTTAAAGGGCTGGAGCTGGGCTGGGTGGGGCACCCATGGGGGGGGGGTCAGGAGGCTTGTGTAGAGCCCCTCACACAGTGGGGGGCAGCAGGGATCGCCCTCTGCCTGGCAGCACCCGGTGAGCACTGGGACTTGTTAAAAAAAAAAAAAGTGCTGGAGCTGGGGCAGGTGGGGCAGCCATTGCCGGGCTGGGAGCGTGGGTGGGGGATGGCCTTGGCTGATTTGGCCTAATCAAATTGGGACATTGATTTGAATCGCCGAATCGAATCACTGTCCCCTGAATTGGCCGAATCCGAAGTGAATACTAGCCGCTTCGCACAGGCCTAGCATACAGGTTGGGAAGAGAGGTCCCTTTTCTTTGTTCCACCATGTTTTATAGACGTTTGCATTTTCTAAACATCTCAAATCTGAGAATATGATCCTTTCACGGAGATGGAGTATTTATTATACTAGTCATCATAATTTGCCATGACTTCTTGGTTGCACTAGCATTTTAGATTCAGGACCATGAAGTCTGCTGATCATTTTAAGCAAATTGTTTATCTTAGTTGACTTGTATGAGTCTAAATCTAGTTGTATGATTTTAGCTTGTTGACTTCACAAATACTACCACAGATTTTCTGTGGAATTTTTTTATAAGACATCTGTCATAAATGACATAATTGGAAATACTTGCCTTGATAAACTAAGTGCTGCTATTTGTGTTTTCGGTATTCCATATAATTGATATTGGATATGTTTCAAATATCAAAATACCCTGAGTTAAATTTGGTATGGATAATCGTATATATTTAGGTGTAGGCAAGATGAGCACTGGAGAAGCTAAGCACTAGCATATGTATTTACGAGGGCTCTTTGGAAATTTGCTGTTGCTTCTAGATAGGACAGTATCCAGGAGATTGACCAACACCTGTCTTGTACAGTGCCTGGTATGGGACTGAAGAGCTAATATAGTATAACTTTTATGTAGGATTGAAGTTGAAAACTTTAGCATTTTCTTTGCCCTGGCTGTATGTAAACTGGAACTCTTCCCTAAAACTTCCCATTGCTGGCACAATTCCACTAGTAGAGGTAATGGTGTAGAGTACTAGAGTAGGTGTGAAGCTCGGTACCTCACCTAATCCTGTTTGGAGCATGGTTTGATGAGGGGTTTTGACTACAAAGCAGCAGCTACTGCCAGTGAAGTTGCAGTAATAGCACCGTTGGCAGTTTTTAATATGAACAAAGTATACGTGTTCATATTAAAAGTATACGTGAAGATGTTTTTTGTGTATACTTTGTGTATACTTCACAAAGTATACGTGAAGATGTTTTTCAGGAACATGAGTTAATGCAGTACTGGGCTGTTTTACTACAGAAAAGCAGAATCAGCTGTAAACTCTTAACAGTTGTGAAGTATCCATTGCCGTCCCAGTGAAAATCTCTCTCTCTCTCTCTCTCTCTCTCTCTCTCAGAAAATAGGTGGTTTGTAAATGTTTTTAGCATCGACTATTTTAATGATGATCTAGTTAGATGTCCTGCTAGGATAACTTAATTATATCATGTGATCTTATTTCTGCTCCTTGTTGTTATGACACAGTCTTTAATTATATGGTCACAAACTATTTCCCCCATGTCCCCAGGACCTTGGCTTCATTCATTCTTTTTTTTTTAAGGACTGAGAGCAAATTAGCTATAGTCCCTGCCTCATTCTAATGTCAGTTTGGAAATGAGTGAATTAGACCCAGACACATAGGTAGGAAACGAATGGTCATATAGTCGAGGCTTGTTGACCTGGGATGTGAAAAGTGGCTGTCAGATTATCAGTGAAACGTTAGGCATATCACCTAAGGACAGTTTTCAAAGGTGGCTGTGGTATTTATTTTATACCTTGGCTGTGCAGGTTGAGACCTCTTTCAAGCTCGACTTGTAAACCTGTTGAGCACTTGGAGTCAGTTGAAGTCAGTGGAGCTGCAGACCCTCAGCACTGCTGGAAAATCATGACCCAGTTGTGTTGGGTTGAGTCCTTGTTCACTGAGGAATCCTGAACTAATAGCGTGTATTTTCCTCAAATACTGGCCTAGTCTTGATGTTGCAGAATGATACTTCTCTATTTCTTAAGTGAAGTTTTGAAGATACGTTCATTTTAACGTTTCTGATATGACTGAATACTGAATGCAGCAGAGAATCTAACGAGGCAGTAAAGCATTCTGACCTAGGTAATATTTCACCACTAAGATATATCCAACATTTTATAAGTTCTGATGCCCCAAAGATGTTCATCTCGCCTCAAAAGCGTCAATTTACTCCACCTAGGGAGATGTACAGTCAAAGGTATCCCAAGAGGCCAAACTTATGCTGCCCTGCAGAGATGTTAAATCCTCGCGTTGCGCAGCACTAAGTGACTCCAGGGACAGTCCTATTGTATTCCCTGTGAGGAAGCACACGGCTCTCTGTTGCTTCAGCCAGCAAGCGTATATGCTTCCCTGGTCCTGGAGTGCAGCAGCAGTGACTCCAGTGTAAAGTAAATTGAGGAGGGGTCCATCCTCCATTTGCCAAATGCAGTAGTGATTAGGGCACGCTGCCCAGGAAATAGGAGATGTGGATTCTAGGCAAATTACTCTGGGTCCCGGCAGCACCCCAGAGTGCCAGTGACCTGTAGCTACAGGACGCTGGGTCACTGGGCACTTCTGGGACTCTGTGTCTACAGCTGCGGGGCGCTGGGTCACTGGCACCACAGGGTGCTGCCAGAACTCAGAGTCTGCAGCTACCAGGGCTGAGAGTCCCCTCAGTGGCAGGACTCCCAGCTCCAGCTGGGCATGGTGCACCCCTGGAGCTGGGAGGACCTGGGGGTCAACTGATGGGTCTCCCCTGCTACACGTGCAAATTTAAAGCTGGATAGCATCCAGCTATAAAGCTATGACATGTTTTCAAGGTCTTATTTTATAGTTGGTTGGACCTTTTTATGGCATGATTGGTACTTTGCATGTATAGCTGGTCTCTGTTAATTGTACAAGTAACCAGTTAATGGCACAGTTGCATACAGAGTAGAGGGAGGGCAGGCAGCTGGCTCTGACTCTGGCCCTGAGTCTGGGTTGGAGCCAGTTGGACCCACAGCAGCCTCCTGCCCTCACCTCTGCTTCTCCTCTTCAGCAGGCGTGGCAGGAGGTGTAATTGTCTGGATTGTGTAATCGATCCCATCACACCTTTACCTGCATGTGTAGAGGGGCCCTGATGAGGGACTTTTCCCTCCCATGCTGATTTGGGGCGGGGGAGTTCATCGTAGATTTGAGTTAATACAGTATCTTTCTGGGTCAAAATGGAGAGGCACAAGGAGTCTAGGCATAGTGGTTTTGTGGCAGTTGTTCAGCTGGAATGGGATCGTGCTTAGTGAGTTGGATGGGGAAGTGGCACTTCTGGGTGTCCTGGAGGCAGAATAGGACCTGGGGCTCTATATTTGGTATGGGATATGGAACGTATGTGTGAGACATGTTCCAAAATATCAGGCGCTCCTCTGCAGTAAAAAGGCAGCTGGAGTAGGGAGTAGGCAGCAGAAAGGGAGGCGTTGTAGAGAGAACTTGGAGTAGTTTGGAGGGATATGTGTATTTAATGCAGATTTAGAGTATCTTCTTGTAATCGGCATCATTGAGTTAATCTACCATGTCAGTTGTTGTCCTCTCTTTGTACTTTAAAAAAAAAAAAAAAAAAGCTGGAAGAAGGGAAGTTAATTTTTTATTATTATTTTTATTTTATTTAGCTGGAAAGAGGTGACTTCCTCTCAGAAGAATGGAGAGAGCGAATTGCAAACACAAGGTACAGTAGAGTAATTGATTATAGTTTCTTTTGAAATGTTAATACTTGTCAGCTTATGTAATGGAAACTGGGAGGATGGCCAGCTCATAATATAGAATTTCTGTAGCTATCAGTTAAAGCAAATCTGCCAGTTTTACAGTAGGATTGTGTAAGGGAGAACGAGTTTAAATGCGCGTCCCCCTTAATGGGAGTAGCCAGAATACATTCCTGTTCCGTAGATAAAGAATAGACCCTTTTGTATCTTCACTTTCTTGTAGTTTGTGACTCCTGAATATGTACCAGCCTTAATGGATGCCAGCTCATGCGATTAAGATAGCTGTATATCTTCTTAATAAGCCTGTGCTCATTTACACTGGCTCTTCTGTTGAACTGGTCATCTTGGGTATTTGAATGATCCCCCCCAAGTGAAGATCTACATATCACATAGGCTGCTTACAGACATGAGAAACAAACAAAGTAGCGCTTTAGGATGTTTGCTGAAGTTAAACCAAACCAACCAACAAACAAAATTCCTCCTCAAAGCCTTGGCGCTTTACTTTAAATTCCACGTGCTCCTGCACTGAGCCCAGCACATGCCCAGAAAAGGCAGCACGTTAGTTGGACCCAGATCATCCAATGTCTGTATAGATCGGGCCCTTTTAAAGGGACTTTTTTGACGCTTTTATCTAATAGCTGATTGAATCAGGTTTTAGGTAAAAGCACCAAAAAGCCCCGCTGAAGCACCCAGTCTATACAGATGCTGGGGAGCCGGGTCAAACTAATGCGTTTCCTCTTCTGGAAAGCGCTTTTTTTTTTTTTTTTTTTTCCCCCCCTTTTTTTCTTGTATGTGTGTCTGCTCTGCCTCCCTCCTGCCCTCCATCTGTCAGTGCCCTTAGAGTCTGTGCTACCAGAAGTGGGAGCAACGTGTTCAACCTCCCCCCACCCCTAAATTTTTGTGCATGGTCTTATATTCAGAGGGCTTACTTACTGTGATAGACTCTTCCTGGCAAGGACCTCCTAGGTCAAGCTCGTACTTGATGAAATGAAAGACATTTGATAGAAAGGCTTTTTGAAAATCTCCCAAGCTGTGGCAAGTTATGGGTGGTTTCCAAGAGTACTCCATGAAAAAGGCGCCTGTTAGGCTGATGAGTGTTGTGTTATTATGTATCCTAGTAAAGACTTGTTGGGCTGGCTTTTAATTTGTGGGCAGACTTGTCCCCACCCTGTGGTGAGGTTTGCTTTGTTTGTCATTTGCTGTTTTAAATATACACTCCTCTGTGGCCTGTGCAGCTTTCCTCCATTTCTTTCGAACAATTTTTGAACGTAGATGGTCTTCTGTTTTGCATCAGCAAATGCCAGTAGATCTTAGTTACTTTGCATGATGCAGTTAATTGTCACTGTACCATATCACTATCACCACCTCCTTCCAACAGAAGTTCTTAAAGTAGTAGTTCTTCATCCAAAAGTTCTAGGCATTTGAACTTGCCTGCAATCACAGAATTATTCAGTAATTGCCACTAATTATCTTGAAATTAGTGGATCAGTTGGTATATGGCCCAGCTTTACTTTGCCCTTTTTTATTGTAGGAGGCCCAAACCTTTAAAAGTACATTTGCATTTTTGTGTGGACAATTCTTGTTTTAGTTCATGCTTAAACTTCTGATATTTAAGCAAGATGCGTGGCATTTTTAATTTCTACTGACTATGCTTGTGGCTTAGAACTATGTACTTAAAAGGCAGTAAACCAAATAAGGGGAAAATAGCTCTTTTGCTATCAGTGTGCAAAGCAAGTATTCTGAGTGAGCATTTAAAAGAGAGATTTCTGGCTAACTTTGTCTTTTTCCTTTCTCCCCTGATGATTCTCTAGTGACTTTACTATGTTTGGCTGTGCTCATGAGGCCTCTATTTGACATAGAAGTGGAAAGTATAAGGAAGGAACCCCTTATGGCCTTGCTTGCCAGACAGACAGGGTTTCCCAAATAACCATAAGCAGGGGCAGGGAGCATATGTATATATTATTGGCACATAGATCTCTCTCTTTTTTTTTTATTGTGGTTTTAAATGGCTTTGGCTGCTGCTCTTCAGCACGTTTCTTGCATGGAGGCACCAGAAGGGGAAGTTTCCAAACTAGCTTCTCTCACAAAGAAATAAACTGTCTTAAACAGCATTTTGTAGGCCTCTTTAACTAGCTTGATCTTGCAAGGGGATGAATATATTTTGAGTTGCATATCCCTTTTTCCCATTGAGTTCATTAGAAATCAAGGACAATCAAGATCTCCTAAGATTGCCCCAAATTTCTAGTTTTCAAAGGGTATGGACATGTACATTTGGAGCAGTTTCAAGAGGGCAGCAGGTGTTATGTTCTCATCCTTACGTGTGGACAAGCAGGGAACAATACAAGCGCAGTAAAACCACTCCTACTTTAACTCTGGATAAAGTAATGCTGAAGTTGGCAAAGTTTTGCTACACTGTCCTTCCTGACTTTTCCACATGTATAAACTGGAATGTAACAGCTGCTGCCACTTTGAAAAGTTCCCCTTTTGAAGCAGCTCTACATGTACATGTACATGTGTCTGTATCCAAAGTCGCATCTGAAATAAATATGGATTTTCCATTCATAATGTGCCCTGCTGCTTATTACTTTTGGCTCACTTCCTGATGATTATGATTGTCTTCCCCTTCCCCCGCTTCCTCCCCCCCCCCCCCCCCCCCCGTTCCTTTTTTTTTTTTTTTTTTAAATTCCTTTTTGCAACTTGCTGGATTTCTCCTTTCAAGGCTTTGATATTTTAAGTGAACACCCTACACAACTTAAACCTAACCATGAGAGATGTTAATTGGAGTGCAAGGAAAGCTTATGTTAGCAAGACATGTTGAGAGAATAGGGAGAAAGGGATGATCTATGCAAATGTCTTGATATTAATGTTGTAAAGGATCTATGCTATTTTGCCATCCTGTTTCTATATAGCCATTTGGTAATTTTGCAGAAAGAATTGCATGCACTGGGGTCTGTCAAGCTGGGCTGTCTTCCCTTTTCCAGGGGAGCTTGCTGAGTGCCATAAACATGTCAACAGTAGCTCTGTTCACATGTGTTTTAAAGAAGCTGCCAGACATAGAGGGGAAAACGTTTGTAACGTTATGATGGTGACACTTGCCAACATGGTTGCTAACTAATGAATTCACAGTGCAGAAGCTACTGGTCTGATGAATGGAAGTGTCATAATATAACACTTTTCCTTTAATGTAATTTACTTCAGCAACATCTGTGAATACACATTTTTAACTTTTTGCATAGTGGAGTTTGCAAGAGGAGAAACATTATGTTTCTCAAGGGAAATGGCTATACAACCTTGGGACACTGGCTATACAAACTTGGCAGCATTCTTGTGTTTGACAGTAGTGATTATCATTCATGGAGCTTTACAGATTTCGGAGGGTTAGCAGTTTGTGTATACTGAAATGCCATTTGTCTGTTCCTGTTTATTGACTAGACTTATCTTGCAGTGTTATTTTTGTGAATAATTTTGCCTTTGGTCCTGAGGTGGATCACCAACTGAAGGAGCGATTTGCAAACATGAAGGAAGGTAACGCATTGAACTTAAACTCTCTTTTTTTTCCCCCATTAGTTTCTCGTTTGCTATGAGAGCTGCTGACTATTCTACTATTTGTGCTGTCCATTAAAAGTACCGAGAGGTTTTTTGTACATAGTTTTAATATTAACAGGCTCTACTACATATTATCCATTTCTGCCTGGCTATCTTTAGCAGACAGCCTCTACTGTAAAAGTCAATGGGCGTCATAAGAAACTACATAAAATGTATTGCATTGTTTTAAATATTGCTGCTATTATATATGTATGCAAATCGTTTCTATGACAGAAGGGCTTTTTCACTGTGGCATCCTTCATAATGTTTTAAATATCTAATCTGGAATGTGTTTTTTATCTTTAATCATTCTATTTGTATTTATCCTGTTAATGGGCAAGTTTGGTAATGGCTAATGCTTTAAGAGCTTTGTTCTTTACTTAAAAATGACACCATTTAAGATGAATTGTAAAAACTCCACCTCCACCAGGATTCATACCCTAGATAAGTGCTTCTTAAACTATGATCTGTAAGTTCCTTTGTTCTGTAGAAAAAAAAGCTTTGAGAATCAGTAAAGTATCTGGGTAAGAAAAGATCTTTGTCCTTTTGAATGTTTGTACAGACTAAAAGAGGAGTGGAGTACCATTTCCTTAGACTGTTAAAACTGAAAGCTCTTAAAAACCTTTAATTAGTTTGCTTTCATGCTTCCTTCAATTAGGACAGTAAGTGAGTAATCTCATTTAATCGGCTCTATTATATCTTTTTCCAGGTGGCAGAATCGTGTCCTCAAAACCTTTTGCACCTCTGAATTTTAGAATAAATAGTCGAAACTTGAGTGGTAATGTTGGCTTTTCTCATTTCTTAGACTTGAATATTGGCATTCAGCATCTGCTTTCTTTGTGTAAAGAAGAAAAGCGCTGAAAAGAAGTAGAAGCCTGCTATTGTGTGTTTAAAGCTAAGGCATCAAAGTGATTGGTGCCTCGAAAATATCAAAAAAGAGATGAAATGTCACGGCTCCCTTAAGACTTGTATTGATGAGACCTTTCCTTTTAAAAACTTCAGTTGGTCATCGGCTCTTCATCCCAGCTTCCTTGCTATGTGCTTATCATTATGGGCCCCTTGTGTAAACCAGCTGCAGAGGAATCTGTTTCCTCTGCAGCAACTCTTAAAAGAATTTAGATAAGTGGGCATAAAAAGAAATGACCTTTGCATCATGGATACAGTGGAAATTGTATTGCAGCAGTCAGTCCCACCTAGTAACTACTTCACCTGGACTATATAATACTGAATATACATGCCTGCAATATTCTAGGACTCATTCCAGTCTTAATGGCTTTTTTCCCCAAAGAGGAGAGGGCAGATTTCAGGGAAATGCCATTCACTTAGAGAGTTCATGACCTAATTCTGCATTTCCTTGATGTAGCAGGCAGGTGTATTCATTTGCTCTATGCCATGGTCCTTCATGCTGCCTTCTTATCGGTTTTTCCCAGAAACAATTTTACTTAGCATTTTTGCTTTGATTTGAGGCAGCTGGTACCATCTACTACTTCCTGTTACTGCTTTGCTTTTAAAACCCGTGTGGTAAAATGCTTTCAGGAATGAAGTGGCATAGGCAAGGATGAAATTTTCCCCTTTAAGCTCTTCTTTAAGGTGACTGCTCTTTGGGATTTTAATTTCTATTAGCAAATGATCAATAAGTGGGTCATGCAGTAAAAAGAGAAAGTTGGGACAAACTAAAAACCAGTATTAAATTGTGGTAAACTAGTGATCAGACTTATTGAACTCATTTGCTCTAAATACCATTTGAATTAATTCATTCTTCACTGGTTCAACATCTCTTTAAGCAGAAGTGAGTATCCATAATCTCTTCTACACAGTCATGCCATTCACTTGAGCATTTGTTGGTGATAGAAATATTTGGAATTAGTAGGTATAGGATCAGTATAAACAACAAAACAGTTGAAATGTAGTTTAAAACGTGTTTGTCCTTAATACACAAGCACTTATGGTGGGACTGAGCAGAGTCCTGGTCTGGAACTTGTGTAGCTTTCGCCACATCCAAAGTTTTAGCTAGGCTATGTGAATGTTTTATATTTGCAAAGTAATCGCATCCTATGCAGACTATTGTAGTTGCGGACAGGATGGTTTTTGAGGTACAGATGGCTTTTTGTAGCTTTTTACTCCAAATTGGCTGAAGATCTTTGCAAGAAAAATTAGAAATGTAGATGCTTCATATGCATGTTTTAGGTAAATGTGGCATGTGGAAAAAAAGTAAGGACATGATTTTTAAAATGAACAGTGTTTCTTCATCTTAGTTAACTAACGCTGTTTAATGTAACTAAATATTTTTCTGTTTGGGGATTAGTGTATATTTCTTGTAGATCATTCTGAAGTTCTTTTTTTCTAAAATTCGCTATAGAATTGGCGAAGGGCCTAGTAACAGCTGGATTGGCTCCAGTGGGGAGAGAGGAAGGGTGTTTTCTGCACAGGGCTACTTTTACCATGTAAACATACCTAGAGAATGCTAGACCAGTTTTGCTCTTGATAAGCAGTGGGAAATGAGGTGAACTTTACCCTAATATGGACTTTTTCCTTTTTAGATATTGGCACTATAATGAGAGTTGTGGAATTATCACCACTGAAAGGGTCTGTTTCATGGACAGGGAAACCAGTTTCCTACTACCTGCATACTATTGATCGAACCATAGTAAGTGTAAATGCTGGCTAATGGAACTTTTTTTAAATTGAAGGCACTGTAGTAATCTCAGACTAAGCTTATTAGGGTTCTTCCTTAAGATTCCCTCTGAATGTTTATGGATGTGCAGTATGGCTCTTGTTGAAGTGGATTGCATTTTACCTACAACCAACTTGTGCATTTAGCATGCAGCGCGTGTACAAATTACAGTTTACCATCATTATTATGAACCTTTGACTCTTTCATAGCAGCAGGTTTTTCAGAAATGCAGTTGGGCGCAGCACTGTGATAGTCTGTATGTAAATCAGCTAGTTAAAGACAGTTATGCAGATGAACAAACACAAATCCCTTTTGCACCATAGTTCATTGGAGCTGTTGATGCTCCCTACTAGATTCTTTATTCTGAGTAGAGAACCAACAGAAGGAATCTGAATTTTTTTAAATGTGCTGTGTGCCTTTGCATTCAGCCCATAATCCTCTATTTGAATTCTTAAATTGTTCTAGATTTAACATGTGTTTTCTGAATATGGTTATGCATTCATTTTTTTTTCAGTTTTGTAAGAAAAACCTACATGTGTGTGTGAACTCTTATTTCACAGAAGAATGCTTTACCCTCATGACCTGAATTTTTGTAACCTAATGGTATAAACTTCTCTCTTAAGCCCAGGCAACTCTGTTGGTGCTTACGTTGTAAATGTGTATGTTAGAATGGAGATAAATGTGTTATTTTGGTGGACTACCAGGCTAAAGTAGTCTCCTATTGAATATAACCTTCTGCTGAGCAGAGATATATAACACAACGCTTTATAATAAGGATAGGCTGCACTGAAGATGATAAACCACATTGAGGCTTGGACTGAATCCTGCTAGCACACATTTGCTTCTCTTCAAAAATAATTAAATGGAAGTGACTTTCTGATGTAGCTTATCAAAAGGGAAGTCCATAAGAATATCTACAGTTTTGCCCTCCTTTTAGCAATTAATGTTTTTGTTTTTACACATCTGTCTATTCTGATGTATAGAATGACTCTCTTATCTTTCCCCTTTCAGCTTGAAAACTATTTTTCTAGTCTCAAAAATCCAAAACTCAGGGTAAGTTGTGGGTATTTTTTTGTATAATGTGCTCAGTGTAATGGAACATTCAGTATGCTGATTTTAAAAATTAACTTGATAAGTTTATCAGAAACAGATGGGTAGTGTGTTTTGAATTCTTCAAGAAAGATACCTCTAGAAAATTAATGTCATTAGAATGAAGTAACGTGAGATGGCAGTAGTGTCTTAATAGCATCTCAGAAGAAATCTGTAGTAGTTAAACATCAGCGGAGATGCCCAAAGGTGTGGCAGTCTTCCATTTACGTTGTCTACCTAACAGATGGTTAATGTTTGTTGCATTCAAGAACCAGACTTTTAAGATGGACAGTTATTTCTTTCTTGATGATGAATCTTGATTGAGAGAGAGAAGAGGGTTTTCAGTTACTACTGACAGTCACCTTATTAATTCTGAAATGTGACTTATAATGTTGGCCACAATGCTTTACTGCTGTGCAAGGAGCTCAGACCCCAGAGGTTTCTGAGACATTGTGCTGTGCTGAATTGGACACATCACATGACAGCTTAGAGAGAAGCTGTGAGGCTGGAATTCCAGTGTATGCATCTGGAAGGTGTCTGATATGTGGGATTTCTTGATGTAGTTTTAGGGCTCAGCCGTTGTCCTCCTAATTAACTTTTTGATGGTAGTTGGGAATTTAGGGTTTAGTGGATGCAGGGCTTATAGCTTTTTGGACTGCTGAATTCAAACTTGGGGGAGAGATTTTGACAGTGAAAAGAAAGGAAGAAAATCCACAGGGTGGTTTTCAGATATATGTAGATATTCTTTTAAAAATAAACCTAGAGAAACTATTTTTATCTGGAACTGCCTTTCTCATCTCTGTTCTTCCCCCTCACCTGAATGATGAGGCAGGACAGAGTGACACTAGAGACTAACTGGTTCAGAGAGGCATAAGCTATGACAGGATCTGCTGAAGTACTTGTCATCTGTGTCATAGCATCTGACAAAGTGGGGTGCTACCTACAAAGCTTATTCCTCTCTGAACCAGTTAATCTCAAAGGTGCCACCCTGCCCTGGTTTCTGTGACTGCTTACTGACATGGATAGTGACCCCACTCCACCTTTATGATGACGGTATTGAATTACAGAATTATAAGGAAGTGAACTTAAGTTTGTTTTTTGTTGTTTTTTTTTTGAGCTCTGTCAAGTTTCACATAATTATAAAGAAGTGAACTTAAGTTTTTTTTTTGTTTTTTTTTTTTTTGAGCTCTGTCAAGTTTCACATTTTGGGCCTCTGACGAATGTTGGGGGCGGAAAAAAAGCACTTTACTGGAAGAAATGTATTGGTTCAACCCAGCTCTGTGGCATCTATGTAGATTGGGTGCTTCAGTGGGACTTTTTGGCACTTTTATCTAAAGCTCATTCAATCAGCTATTAGATAAAAATGCCAAAAAGCCCTGCTGAAGTGCCCAATCTATACAGACGTTGGACGAGCCAGATCCCACTAATGTTATGCCTCTTCTGACCGTGTGCTGAGCTTGAAGTAAAGCACTACTTTTTTTCACGTCCGTAAGAAGTTCTTAGCGGCCAGTCAAGTATTATGCTTTTCAGTTGCCTTTCATCTTGATTATCTTAAGGACAGATTTGGCAAGGATTAAATTAGGCAATGTTTCTAAGACTCGATTCATGGCTTTTCCATTTCAAGTCCCTTAAAAATTCTGTAGTGATATAACAACATATTTAATGTGAGATATAAATAGAGCCATTGATATTTAACACAGGCTTGTTTTAAAAATTCCAAGATCTAACTCTCTAACTCCTTCAAGTATAGTGCCTAGACTAAAGTGGCCACAGGTTTGCTAAGCAGCTGGGCCTTTTGGTGTGGATGCAACTCTGTCAGTAGAATTTTATTCTGCCATCCGTTATGCCAGGTCCCAGAGTGGCAGCAGCTTAGCTGCCAGAATTGCATCCACATTGGGTGTTTTGCTGGCATAGGCATGTTGGCAACTGGCATAGCTAACATAGTACTGTTGGCAGAACTTGGTAATGTAGACTAAGCTAAACTCGTTGTCTGGAGCGGGATAGGTCAGTGTTCCCTCCCTGGTACTAAAAGATGTTCTTTCCTTTAATGCGTAAGGACTGATCAGAGTGAATGATTGTCTTTGGCTATCATAGAAGAACTAGTTGGGTAACACTGATGGGTCTGACTCTGAAAGGGAGAAATAGAGCAGCAGACGGTGATTCATGTGGATTTTTTTTTTAATACCTCCCTTGGCATTTTGTGCAGGAGGAACAAGAGGCAGCTAGACGTCGTCAGCAAAGAGAAAACAAGAGCAACACAACAACTCCGACAAAGGTGCACGAAAACAAGGTCACTTCCCTCTTACATTTTCATAGAAAAAAAAAAAGGTTTTGTGTTTGCTGAGGTGCAAAGCTATGATCTGCACTTGTCTACATAGGGACATTAACTAGATTAGTTTTATTTCAGAGAAGTTAATCTGGAGTAGGTCTCCCTGCGGATATGCTGTTCCAGAAAACATCATTTCAGAATAATTAGTGCTCTAGTTATTCTGGGACAATAGGGATTCTGGTCATTTTCCCTGGGTTAGCAAGCCTTTAGTCTCAAGTATGGATTCGCAGACCATGTCATAGGCCACACCAGACTTAATTTTAGTATGTGTGCTATCACCTTTCTCATTTATTATAAAGGCTGCTTCCTTTCCAATTTGTAGCTGTGTAATTTCCCTGCCTTAGATGCAGAAATTATCCATGTGAAAAGTAATATCAGGGTTTTAACAGAATGTAATACAGTAGTTGTAAATAAAGAGCTAGCACTAAGTGTGCAGTTTTATATGGAGAAGAGTTTGGGGAAGCCAGCTCTGCAATGAGCTGACTGAGAAGAGAGGCTGTATAGGATCTTGAGCGTGGCATATTAGGTCCCAGGACTGGTTCTAATCCCAGATACAACATTGACTGTCTTTGTCTTGGGCAAGTTACTTAACCTCTAGGCATGTTTACATGTGCCTCTTCTAAGTGGGCTTAGCCTAAAATTGCCACTTTTAAGGTGCATTAAGGGAGCATGTCTACATGTGTGCACCCTTAATGCACCTGTAAAAATTGTGATTTAAGGCTAGGTGAGCCTAAATTTGATACCTACATAAAGCAGGTATCAAATTTAGGTGTGGATAGCTAAGTTGCATTAGCACATGTGTAGATGCACTAATGCTCATTAACACGGTGTGTCAATGGATAGACACCGCCTTAATGTGCATTAGTGCATCTGCATGTGCACTGATGTGACTTAGTTATTCGTGCCTAAATTTAATGCGCATTAGTGCGTCCACTTGTAGACGTGCACCTAAATCGCCTTAAGCAAAGGCGCATTTAAGTTTATGCACACCTAAATGCACGTGTAGAGATGCCCAGGGCTTCCCTCTATAAACTGGGAATGTTATTTGCTTGCCCTTAGAGAGGGGTGCTTTCAAAATTCGCTAACGTTCTGCAGAAAGAAACGGCTTAATATTATTAAAGATCTTTTGTTCTTCAAACTCTTACAGGATTCTGGTCCTGAAGAAGAAAAAGCTGGGGCAAACACCATTAAGAAGCCATCTCCCTCCAAAGCACGCAAGAAGAAGCTGAGTAAAAAAGGAAGGAAAATGGCAGGCAGGAAACGAGGGCGTCCTAAGAAGATGAACGCTGCAAATACGGACCGCAAGACCAAGAAGAACCAAACTGCACTGGAGCTTCTGCATGCTCAAACTGTGTCACAGACATCCTCATCCTCTCCTCAGGGTAAGTTCAAGCCATTCATCATTGCCATGGAGCAGCCTTTTTGCCATGGAGCATATGAGTCTGTTATTGGTGTCCAGGAGAATGTTTTAGCCGCAGTAAATGTTTAGAAGTGTTTTTTTTTCCAGAAACCAGACTCTCTTAAGCCCCTCCTTTTTATTGTTTAGCTTCTCTGTACCTGAAATAAAACACATCGCTATGTCTAGCTGCTTCATGTCATTATATCCCCTCCCCTCCAGGTGGGATGATGGAGCCCCAGACTGCCTGTTAATGGTAATCTAAATGTGTCCATTAGGAATTGTAGCAGAAAAGTGGAATTAAGATTATGGCCCAGTGGTTTTCGCACACATCCCGAGGATTATTCCAAACATGGTCTTGTTGCCTTATGTTAACTTGGCCAAATTACTGGATCTTTTGGTGTTAAATGTGCTCCTTACTGACAGAAATAATCTCTTCTGTGTGCCAAAATTGCTGGATTTCATTATTTAAAATGTGGCCTGCATTCCCTTACTTACTAGATGCATACAAGTCACCTCATAGTCCATATTACCAACTACCTCCGAAGGTGCAACGGCATTCATCTAACCAGCTGTTGGTGACTCCCACCCCACCTGCACTACAGAAGCTGCTAGGTAAGATTTTATTTTTCCTGATGCACGGACATTGAAATGGAATCAAGGTGACTCGTGTAGTTCTTTGTCTACAGGGATGGGGCTGTTTTGCTACAATAGGAAAATTCAAGACGAACTTAAATGTTCAAGATTTTGTTGTTGTTTTTTTAATTCTGACTGATGGGGTTTTATTTTTAATACGAAGCATATTTTATGGTAACACATGAGCCAGGAGAACTGTATTGTTAATAGAAATGGGTTATGTTCCACCAGCACTAAGATAGTCAGTTAATTGTCCAGCTTTTAAAAATGTTTGCCCGTCATTGGTAACAAAGTGGTGTTTGTTACAAGCACCTTTCCACTGAGGTTCCTAAACCTGTCGGAACCTGGGAGGGTTTGTTGTACACGTGCTGTCTTTCATACTTGATGTTGTAAGAGGTAAGAAGGGAAGAGAGTACCTGCCTGCCAGTGCTCTTCCTGCTGCTGCCACTGCCACCATATCCTTTTATCTTGCATGCTGCTAAAGTTGAAACCTTGGTTTGCATTTATTGTTTTTAGCAATTTCAATTCTCATTTGGCACAAGAGAAAAGAAGCTTGGGTTTTTCAGAAAGCCAAAATGACTTTCCTAGACGGACACTGCTGGTCCAGAAACAACCCTGCATCATTTTAAAATAAAATAGTGGTTAATTTAATGACTAAGGGTTACAGGGAGCAGAATTCCAGTTTTCCTCTAAGGGAGAACCAGAAAGCAAAGTAGAAACAAAACAGAGATTTTTTTTTTTGTGAGGGTTTTGGAGCACGGGATAGCTCTGTCAGGGAGTATGTTCTAAATGTAAAAGATGTTATGATGAGAAGACCTGGAATTTCTTCTGAAAGAAGATTAAGGGAGCAACATGCGACCTGAAATAATATTATATGGCACAGCTAGGTTGAGGTATACGTTGAGCACAATGAAGGTTAGCAGGAAACTTGGATGCAAGTGAAAGGGTCTATAGAAAAGGTACTAGCATGATGGGAGGGGTAGACAAAGAGCATGACTTCAGCAGTATCTTGGTAAACAGGCTTTGGGGTACAAGGGTGCACTGTGAACAAAATGGTCAGAAGGGAAGGTTAAACAGAATCAAGACTAAAGTTAGCCAGAGCATGGACCAATGTTTTGTCAAAGAGGATAAAAAGAAAGGGGTCGATTTTGGAGATGCTAAATGTGACTTATTTAGTATTAACTCTGTAGTTTGGGGAGGGTGGAGGGGAGGTGACATGACAGGGAACAAAGAGAGACTCCCAGGCTATGGGACTGAGAAGACACTGGAGCATTGAGCACAGTGCTCCTGTACTGTGACTATAACAGGCAGTCTTTTTATTGCTTTTACTTATATGAAAGTCCATCAAGAAACTCCTTTTTCAAAGGTCCTCTTTCAAAGGCTGCTTTTGTGCTTCCTTTTAAAATGTGTTATTAGGATGGTTACAATGAGGGACCTAATCTGTGGTTAATGAATCAAGGGGGTCAGCTTGCATTGACACAAGGAGCTTTCAACATGCATGAAATTGATCTCTAGTGCTTCAGTGCATCTAATAGCCCATGTAGAAGGCAGTAGGGTCCTTGCCACAAGCTTGAATTTCCTTCTTTCCTCCAAATAATGTTGTTGCGCACTTATTTTTATTGCAGACTCTTTTAAGATCCAGTACATGCAGTTCATGGCGTACATGAAAACTCCTCAGTACAAAGCTAACCTGCAACAGTTATTGGAGCAGGAAAAGGTAAGCCATTTATGAAATGGTTTCTAGCTTGGAAATGTATAGCTTCCTCAGATGAGAGAGAGGTGGGGAAATCCAGAGTTTTGATTTGTTTTGCCTAAATCGAGTACTGTCTGTCACCCAATTAAAGGCCTCATTTAAGAGATTATATCTTTTTGCTGAAGGCACTATGAGCTGTGGGTTTATTTGCCCTCTCTGCCACTGATTTTAACATTACCGTGATCCAGTTTTTGTCACCTTTTTGTATCAGTTTCTTCAACAGCAGGATAGGGATAGTGTTGTTTTTTTACACACTATTGGGACTTCATTCATTGTTAAATTCTTCTTACATCACTTTTTAATATACTTGAGCTGTTTGTTTGAATTGGGGATTTTTAAATGAGCTAGGCAACAGGAATTAGAGCATCAAAAATAAAATACTTTCAACTTTTTTTTTTTTAAGTTCTACCATTTTCCAGGTCCACAGTTTTACTCAGTAGACTAAAGATGAGGTTCTGATAAGTTAGATGAGACTATCCTTTCTTCGTATGATCAAGGTTCCTTAACTGAGATTTGGGCTCCTTAAATCTGAATTAGAGATTTGGATATAGATAATTCAATTTCACTTAACGTAACTAGAGACTAAAATAGCCCTTATTCAGGTTTCCTAGAATTAAGTACACATTGAAACTAGTTCCTCGGCATCTAGAGTAGTTTGTGCAGAAACAGGTAAGGTAATGAACCAGTATCATGTTAGCTTTCTGATACTTCCTTGTATTCTGAAAATACAAGGGAACAGCCAGTATAGTGTCATACAGAAGGTTAAATGCAATATTCTTGAGTGCAAGTCATTGGTCTTCAGATTATAGTGATGGGTGTGTTACCAACATCAACATTTTTGTAAGATACTCAGTAGTTTCACAGCAAGGATTGTACTTGTGAAAAATACTTTGCAGAGACTTGCAGTGTTTTTTTTCTACTGCAGTACAGCTATTTGTCCAGCAGAGGGAGTATAGCTTCACTAACTAAATACATTTTGGGTAGCAATTAAGGAATCAGTTAATGCTTTTGGGGCTTTAGATATTCAATTTGTAGACACCTGATACTTAATGGAAGGATTCCTTGAATGTAGCAACTTTGTGAGATGCCCAGTCCAAAGTATTGACAAAGCCATCAAACTGTTTCTCAGACTCAAACTTGAGTTGTTCTTCAGATAAGAAGGGTCTGTGCTATTCCACCATATCCCCTCACTGAGAATGGATTAAACATTACTTGTGGCACTTGTTCAAAGCCTGTGTAGTTGTCATTTGTTTTGCACGTCACTGCCAACTTGGCTTCTGCTTACAAGTTTGTGAGGAAAGTCTGTAGTACCAAGTTAATGTTTTTCTGCACAAAGTATAGAAAGGAAATTGCAGTGTGAGTATTGTTCAGTATATTGGTGTTCTAATTTAAGATGGTCTAAAAAGTGTAAATGGGTTGTATCTAACATGACTTATTTTCTTGGAGGATGCAATTTGTGCATAATGATTCTCAGCTGTCTTAGATTCAAGGTACCCTCCATAACATTTTTGAATTTGGTGCCACACCGGGTGAGAACCAGTGCTGTAATGCCTGATTTTTCCTCAGTTATTTAAAACCAGGGTGCTGTTGCCACAGTCAGGTAAAATTGCCCCATGTGCCTTGGCAGAGCCTGTTTCTGCTGCAGCCCTTCCCTGCCTGGCCCTGCATGCTCCTCTTGGAAACAGGTGTGCAGGAGAGTTGCAGCTGGTGTTGGTTTCTCCATGGTACCCTGGAGAAACACCAGAAACACAGATAAGTCTCCAGGCTGCTGTACCCGCTGCCCAGTGGAGCTGTCCCACACATCTGTTTCCAGGAGGAGTATGAGGGTCAGACTGGGAAGGAGTGGGCAGGAGTGGGTGCTTCTGCCTGCGTTAGGTTTATCAGATAAACTTCCTGGTCAGACTCCATGGAGCACTTTTGGCCAATTGTGGTGGTGCTGCTGGCTCTGCATCCTCTGAAGTGTCTCACAGCACCCCAGCTGAGGACCACTGGTATAGAAAGACTTCATGGAACAGAGCAGTGAGTACTAAATCATAATAGATTTGTGAAAACTGAACCAAAACTTGCCCTGATTTAAATAACTAGTTCAGTTTCTAATTACAGTGGTCTTGCTGACAATGTCTTAGTCTTATGTACAAAAGCTGTATATAGCATCTGTTTTAAAATAAAGCACACTAACAAGATAATGACATACTTATATACCAGGTTCCCTTCGATGGAGTTACTGGCTTCTATATTGGATACAAATCCTAGATATTGGAAGCACAAAGGCTTTCACAGCCTCTCCAGGGCATTGGATTTAATGTTATAGCCATAACAGTTCTCCTTTCCCAAAATCTTGAAGCGGGAAACACCAGGTTGTATGTGTGGGTGATCAAACTTCATACTTTGTCTCTACCCCCACCCATCCGTGGAATCTGTCAGCACTGCTCTTTAATTGCTCAGGTGGATTGCTCCTGAATGCAGACACATCTTTCTTTTTCCCTTCAGCACTTTCAGTGAATACTCCGCTTCTGCAGAACCTCTTTTTTGGAGTGGGTGGAAAAACAAGGTTGGGGAAGAAGGGAGAAGCATTATAAATTTGGGCTGCTTTCTCCCCCATATATGTTCTCGTCTTCCATATATCTATTTTTTAAATTCTTCAGCCAGTTTATTCCCACCCTTTGCTGGCTTGGGAATTGGGAGAGAATCATATTGACAAGCAAGAGTCTAGGAATCCCCATGGTTGTCTATGAACATGATACGTAGGAATTGCCCTGCAAACCGAAGAAAGAACAGGCAGTCAAGGGAATTCTACATGGAAAAACAGAGAGAAGCTCCTCTAGGAGGTGGCTTGGTCTTCCTGACTGTCTTTTTTCCTAATTTATTTTATTAACTGAAACTTTTAAAGGTACGTTCTATAGGAAAACCATACTCTAAGTGGATTGGATTTCTGGGGATCTTCCAGCTCAGCTTCAGATCTCATGTATACCTCATAATGAATCCCTTTAATATCGTCACTTTTCCGTTTCTCCTCTGTAAGATGTGGCTACAGTTTCCTTTTCTCACAAATGTCTGACTTTTGGGAGGGGAGAATGATGTGAGAGAGAGGAAAGGCTATGAATTAATGTCAGTGCAATATCTTAAATACAGTTCCACCTACAGTGTTAGATTCTAGCAAGCATACAACAAAAAATTGAAGAGACAGAGCAAAGATGAGATTAGAAAAGAAAATGAAAAATATCTGCTAACTAATGCAGGGTCACTCCCAGCTTTGTATGTGTTTCACTATCCAGGCTTGTTTTAATGGTGTGGGAATGTTGCAGCTGTGATGGTTTAGGAAATAACCTCAACTTTGCTTTTTGTATTTTTTTAATGGTATCTTTAACTGGACTAAGTACATGGTGAAAGCCTGCCCAGCATCTCTTCAAACTGTAGTTAGCTCAGTAAAAGAATCAGTCAAAAAACCTTTGCTTTTCACAGCCTTGTTTTAAATATTTTGCATAATGAGACTGCCTTTATGGTGGGAAAACTGTTGTTCATGCTACTACACATTGCTGTTATGATGAGTTACCTACTTCTGGACTAATGAGGCGTTGATATAATCAAAATGCTAAGGGGTGTAAGATTGGCAATTAGAACTCCCCTCAAGGCATTCTGCAGTGGGAGATTATCCTGTTTGTTTTTCTTGAATCTTTCAGGAAAAGAACGTTCAGTTATTGGGGACAGCGCAGCAGTTGTTCACCCATTGCCAGGCCCAAAAAGAGGAAATCAAGCGACTGTTTCAACAAAAGCTCGATGAGGTATGGCCCCATCTGATGGGAGCAGATTAATAAAAATAAATATTTGCATAGAATTATCTCATTCAAAACCAAATCTAAATCTGTTGGATTAAAGCATTACTCTGACTTCAGCATCTCGGTGGGCAGTGATCACATGGAACTGTTTTCATTCTGTCACAATCCACATATGTTGTGTAAATTATAGCTTGCTACTCCCAGCTCTGTGCTTTATTAGTGCAGGAGGATGTTTGTGATAGTCTTTAGAATAGTCTTCATTAAGTAATGGTTGATTACACAGAAACCATGCTCAACTGAGTGCTTGCCTTCACCTTGATGTACAGGGTTGATACTGGCCATATGCCACTACAACATTTAATTTGCAGTTGGAAGATGCTCTACTCCCCAGCTATTCATGGTTATGAAGGAAAAGAACATGTCACATTCAGGTGGAAGAGAGTGGAGTTTTGGTCTCCATCTCTAAATAGTGGAAGTAGGAAAAAGTGCAGAGCAGGGCAAGGGGGATGATCAGTAGAAAGCAGCTTCTGTACAAGTGCAGACTAAATAGGCTCGGACACTTCATCTTAGAAAGAAGATGACTTGGGGCTGGGGGTGGATCTGATAGAAGTCTATGAAATCATGAATGTCCCTGGGAAAGAAAATAAAGATTTAGTCTCCTGCAGTACTAGAACTAGGGGAATTCATGGAAATTATTAGGAAGCAGGCTTAAAACAGGCTTTTTTCAGACACCATGTGGAATGCCTTGCCAAAAGATGTTAGAAGTTGATTCATTTAACCAGGATCAAAAAAGGATTAGATGCATTCATTTAAGAAAGGCCCATCAGTGGACTAGTTGAGGTTGTAACTTCTGAATTACAGCTTCTAAGCCTTTAAATCAGGGGTGGGCAAAATACGGCCTGTGGAGGGACTCTGATGGGCCTATGGTGGATTCTTTGGTCCCCCCTGGCACAGATGCCGTCCGGCCTATGGTAGGCATCCCACTACCCCAGAGTGTGCAGTGGGGCTGGGGTGGCTCCTTCCACTTATTGGTCCCAGACCCATGGAGACTGGCAGGGACCTGCACACATGGCCCTAACCCTGCCCCACCCCGCATCTGCTCCCTACTTGCCCCAGCTGGAGTGAACCAGCCCCAGACCTGTGTGCACAGCCCCAACCCTGGGCCCGCCCTGTGCCTACTCTGGACTGCTTACCCATAATGGGGAGCAGCGGCAGCCAAGCAGAAGCTGCTGCTGGGCATGGGGGGGGGCAAATAATTGCCTACCCCTTCTCTAAATGCTGGCAGCTGTAATGGAAGAGGGGCAGGGGAACAGATTGGTCTTCCATTTATCACCTGTTCCCTGCTATTGTGAGATACTGGGCCTGTGACTGACCTAGGACAGCATTTCTTAATGTTCTTAGGAATAGAGTTGAAGTTTGGAACAGTAGTTTCATTGTAAAGATTCATATTCTATTCTGCTCTTTGTAAAAAAAAATAATAAAAAAAAATAAAGCAGCAGTAACATTCATTAGTAATTGCACATCTGGAGAACTTGTTCTTATTCATCTAGGCCACTTTCCACCCCACACTGCCAACGGTACAGTCCTTTCTGCATTGCTCAGCAGAGAACTCGAGAGGAAGCTGTATTTGGGACAGTCTTGTTTGTCACAGAACTGCAAGAAATGGGTTCTGATTCAGCCTCTGCCAGAGATTGGTGCATGTGACCTTGGGCAAGTCATGTGATCTCTCTGCCTTGGATTTCCGATTTGTACGCACAGACCTCTTGTGTCTCATCAGTTAACATTATGTATGCTCTTTGGGGCCAAGTCTTTTAGGCTCCGGTCAACTGGTTCTTGGTCTTGATTGGGTATATTTTGTGCAATTGTATATTAAGCAGGTCAGTAGCTTTCCAGATTTCTATGGCTGTAAAAAGCATTTGAGAGGTGAGGGGTTAGAAATGGTGGTGGTTATCACCCAGGGGCTTAGCAATGCTGTCTTGCTAATGTAAATTCAGGGGCACAGAAGGAAGCATCTCCTTCATAAGGCCCAACTAAGGAATTGTATGTCAAATCCTAAGTTGTGCTACCAGCTGGCCATCGCCATCTGTGACTTGGGATGTGATTTGCCCAAAGCACCTCACTTTGCTTTCTTAACTTTCTCCCACTTGTAAAATGGGGAAGATGATGATAAACTCCACATACAAGGTTGAAACCTTTCCTGTTGATTGTAAAAGTGCTGTGAGTCTCCTCAGGACGGTTGCCATAGAAGCATGAAACTTTGTCCTATTTTATGACAATTATCTGGAGTTGGAATAATGAGTTATTCTTTAATTTAACCTTTTTATTCTTTCCTTCCTGTAGTTGGGAGTTAAGGCTCTGACATATAATGACCTGATTCAGGCTCAGAAGGAGATCTCTGCTCACAACCAGCAGCTGAAAGAACAGACGAAGCAGCTGGAGAAAGATAACAGTGAACTCAGGAACCAGAGCTTGCAGCTGGTGCGTACTGTGCTTCCATCTGACTAGTATGCCCAGCCAAGTGGTGTCCATGTTTTTGTACAATGTAGAGGTCATAAACCGAATGTTGCTTTTTTCCTGTTTTATATCTCAATGAGAACAAAAGCTGCTAGGAAAGCTTGGCTCCTCTAGGGCCTAGAAAAATGTTGTCAATGTAAAGAATGCCACACTCGTGGGAAGAGATCGTATGTTCAGTTCCTGTGGTCACTCTTGATCTCACGTGCTGTCTCTGGCTTCTCTTTTTTTTTTCCTTGGTAGAATGTGATCTTTTGGCTTACCAGTTGCTTTCCTTTTGCATGCCTCTCATTTCCCCTTCCTTTCCTCCAATTTTAATCAGGAAGTATTTTAAAAGAATGTCTTGATCTGGAGAGGACGTGGGTGGGCGGTCCATCCTTTTGGAAATCTTAATTTGAAACCTAGTAAGCTGGTTTTGGTGGCTTCAGCCGCCTCCATGGCAGAAGGGGTACTTAGTTTTAAACTAACAAGAGAAAGTACTTTTTTTACACAGTGCGTAGTTAACTTGTAGAATTCGTTGCTACAGGTGGTGGAGGCAGGTAACATAGCTAGGTTCAAAAAGGGACTGGATAAATTCATGGATGGATGTTAATGGCTAATGAACAGCATAGCTAGAGATGTTTCCCCTGGCATCTCTAAACCAATACAAGGTGGATGCCAGGAAGGGTATACAGTAGGGAATAGATCACCCTAGAGATTCAGGTTTGGTGTTCTCCTTGTATAGCATCCACTTCTGCCATTGTCAGAGATGGGATACTGGGCTAGACTGACCATTGGTCTGACCCTGTACAGCACTTATGTTCTTATGGGGATTGATGGGATAACATCTCAGAACTGAGGTGATGAATCTCATTGGTCAAGAAGACAGCACAATTCTTGCTTGTCTGCAGCCTTTACTTTATCCCTCACTCGGTTCCTGGAACTGCAACAGGTATTGGAGAAGCTGGATGCAGAAGTATTTAGTGGTGAGTGCTAACTGCATGCCCCAGCTAGGCAGAACCCAACTACCTCCTGCTATACTAACAAGAGCTGGAGATTATTTTTTTCCCCTAGAGTTAGAATATTTGCGTGGAAGAGGCAGCTAGTTCCCAGTAGGATAGAAAATGTCCATATCTTCAGCTGAGAGACTTGTGGGATTCTGTCCTGCTCCTTGGGTTGTTTAGGGTTTTGAAACCTTGTATTGACTTATCCATTAATGTGCTTACAGCTTAAGGCACGGTGTGAAGAACTGAAATTGGACTGGTCAACTCTTTCACTTGAGAACTTACTGAAGGAAAAACAGGCGCTGAAGAATCAGATTTCGGAGAAACAAAAGCACTGCTTGGAATTGCAGGTAGAATGGAGTGAAGTTCTAGAGCCACCAGCTCTGAATTGCATTCAGCCAGTTTTCCAGTTAGGGGTACAGCTCTCCTGTAAGTTACTCAATTTGTTTTTGCCTAACAAGATACTGGAGTGTAGACCTGCTGGCTACATGGCAGGATTAATTAATAAAACAGTTATTAGAAAGTAGTGGAAAAAATTAAGAGCAATGATGCAGATAAATTCTGGGCAATCAGAAGTTTTCTTGGTATCTTTTTTTAGATCCCTGACCTGACTACATACCAGAGCTGGGGAAGAATAGGCTTTGGTTAATCAACACCTCCCTGCATCACTAAAATCCTCTTTCACTAGACAAAAATAAGACAATACTAGCAACTGTTGTCTCTGCTCAGTGTCTGGGACTAGGGAGAAGCAAACAGGACAGTTTGCCAGCAGTTGGTCTGTAATAGACTCCCACCATCAGGTCCCCTTCTCCTGACAAGGGAGGTATAGTGCCCATCTTTATGAAAGGGAAGGAGGAGAATCCAAGGAACTACAGACCAGTCAGCCTCACCTCAGTCCCTGGAAAAATCATGGAGCCGGTCCTCAAAAAATCCATTTCTAAGCGCTTAGAGGAGAAGAAGATCATTAGGAACAGTCAGCATGGATTCATCAAGGGCAAGTCATGCCTGACTAACCTGATTGCCATCTATGATGAGATGACCAGCTCTGTGGATGCAGGGAAAGCAGTGGACGTAATATACCTTGACTTTAGCAGGGCTTTTGATACAGTCTCCCACAGCAGTCTTCCAAGCAAGCTGAGGAAGTACAGGTTAGATGAATCGACTGTAAGATGGATAGAAAGCTGGCTAGATAGTTGGGCTCAACGGGTAGTAATCAATGGCTCAGTCTAGTTGGTAGCTGGTATCAAGTGGAGTGCCCCAAAGGTCGGTCCTGGGGCTAGTTTGCTTCAGTACCTTCATTAATGATCTGGAAGGTGGGATGGGAGTGCACCCTCAGCAAGTTCGCGGATGACACCAAACTGGGAGGCGTAGTGGAGGGTAGGGCTAGGATCTAGAGTGACCTAGACAGATTGGAGAATTGGGCCAAAAGAAAGCTCATGAGGTTCAGCAAGGACAAGTGCAAAGTCCTGGACTTAGGATGGAAGAATCCCATGTACTGCTACAGCTGGGGCTGACTTGCTGGGCAGTAGCTCTGCAGAAAAGGACCTAGGGGTTACAGTGGACAATAAGATGAATACAAGTCAACAGTGTGCCCTTGTTGCCAAGAAGACCGCATACTGGGCTGCATTAGTAGAAGCACTGCCAGCAGATCAAGGGAAGTAATTACTTCCCTCTATTCTATACTGGTGAGGCCACATCTGGAGTACTGTGTCCAGTTTTGGGCCCCCCCACTATAGAAAGGGTGTGGACAAGTTGGAGAGAGTCCAGCAGAGAGCGGTGAATATGGTTCGAAGGGCTGAGGCATGTTACTTTTGAGCAGAGGCTGAGGGAACTGGGTTTATTTAGTTTGGAGAAGAGAAGACTGATGGGGGATTGAATAGCAGCCTTTAACTACTTGAAGGGGGATTCCAAAAAGGATGGAACTGGACTGTTCTCAGTGATGACAGAATAAGGAGCAATGGTCTCAAGTTGCAGCAAGGGAAGCTTAGGTTGGATATTAGGAAGAATTTTCTCACTAGGAGGCAGGTGAAGCACTGGAATGAGTTACCTAGAGAGGTGGTGGAAGCTCCATCCTTGGAGATTTTTAAGGCCCATCTTGATAAAGCCCTGGCTGGGATGGTCTAGTTGGGGATGGTCCTGCTTTGAGCAGGGGGTTGGACTAGATGACCACTTGAGGTTCGTTCCAACCCTCACTTTGTGATTCTCTGATCTCCTGTGTGTGCTTTCAACTCGTGTTTTCAGGTATCAGTTCTCACAGAACATCTTTAACTTGTTGAAGAAAAATTGTCCCCATCCTTCCATAGAACCTTTCTTTCATAATGGGGTGACTGTCCTGATTTTTCACTGGAAGTGGTAACCAAAATTCAGGTGTATTACTGGACAAGATGCTGGGTGCTGTTTTGGAGTGGGGTCTTTCCAGCCCCCAGCAATCCAGTGGTGTTTAGTGGAAGAGAGAAGAGGTGGGGAGGGGTTGGTTTGTTCAAAATCTGACTTTCTACATGTTAAACTCGATTTACACACTCCAAAATATTTCCTGAGATTCTCTTGAATCCATATCCTTTAGCTGTACCTCCGTCACAAGTTCAGAACCTTGTCTCCATATGCAAATTGTATTTTTTTTAAATCATAGATTGTTTGCTTTATCACCCAAAAGGAATGCAGCTGAAGACAAAATTCCATTATGTATAGTGTTTAATCTTTGCCCTCCTCTTCATTTAAAGATCAGCATTGTGGAGCTTGAGAAAAGTCAAAGGCAGCAGGAGCTCATGCAGCTGAAATCCTGTACGCCGTCCGATGAGTCCTTGTCGATACAACTACGCAATAAAAATCATCTAAGTCGTGAACCTGAGGTTGATCATGGCAGGTTCCAACTTGAGCTTGAGTGTTCTAAATTTCCTATGACCCATATCAATGGCATGAGTCCCGAACTGTCCATGAATGGCCATGCTACTCCCTATGAAATCCATAATACTCTTAGCCGGCCCTCTTCCAAGCAAAACACCCCTCAGTATATGACTTCTCACCTGGACCAAGAAATAGTTCCATGTACCCCAAACCATAGCAGTAGACAGAAGGCGGACAAGACATCCAGCTTGTCCTTACCTGATTATACCAGATTTTCCCCTGCTAAGATAGCCCTAAGGAGGCACTTGAATCAGGACCATGCAGTCAATGGAAAAGCAACAACTAATGAAATTCAGAGGTGAGAGGGGGTCAGTTCCGAAGTTGGGGAAATGGGTATGATATTTGTCTCTTTATTGCTGTCAGTATATGTAGACTATAGAAGAAAATGGTTAAAAAATAGAATTGATATATGTAGTTCCAGTCTTTGTGGCTCAGGCATTTGACTAAAAGCCAATAAATGTAGCAGTGGCAGATGATCAGGTAAGCAAGGCAATGATGTCTTGAGTTTGCAACAAGAATTTGTTGCAGTTGGAGATCACTGGAATTCAAAACCTGACTGTGTGTATCCTGTTTTAGAGCTGACCACATAAAAGAGAATGGCCTTACATATCCAAGCCCTAATATTTCAAATGGCATGAAGCTGAGTCCTCAGGAAACTCGGCCCTCTTCCCCAGCGGCCTTACCGATTGCAGGCGAGAAGGTAAGGAATATGCCTGTCTGTGCAGAGCTCAGGTCAACAGAAATGATACTCCTGACAGAATTGAGGGGGGAGAACTCCGTGGTACTAGGTTGAGGGTGTCCACATCTTTTTCTGGTGGCCAGCTTGGGATTGGGTGTAATGGGAAATGGAAGACAAAGTGGAACCAGAGAAAGAAACAGGGGACAAAATGTGGTAATTCTGGCGAGTGGTGGTGGAGGGGAGGGACTCTTTCCTGTCTAGGTTTGAATGTTAACTGTGCTGTTAATAGCCAAAAGTTCTATTGGTGTCAGATGTTGTCTTTAGTCTCCGTGTAATGATTAAGTTGTCTTAATCAACTTCATAACAAGCATTTGTTTCCAAAACCCATCTTGCCACGGGTTCACTCAGAGTCAGTTTCAGTAGTGTGAATTGTCTCCTCCTGTGCAGAGGTCCCTGTTACGGAGCAGGCTTTTGAGACTGGGTTTCATTGGAGCTCTTGCCTGGCCATTGCCTGCTGTGCACACAGAGGAGGCTTTTATGCTACAGATTTTGTCAGACAAGCACCTTTCACCAAGTTCTGGCAAGGTTACGCAGGAGCAAGCTTCCCACCATTGTGGCAAATGCTGGACCCTCCACTTGTCTCATCAGAAAGACCTGGTTTGGATTCCTTTGAACACCAGCCCTCATCCCATATCCCAGTGGTTTGTCACTGCTGGTTGAATTGGTGAACACTTTGATCCTTACGGTCAACATGTCTGAACACCTTCTCTTATCAGTGGCATACTGCGACTTTGGGGATACTACATAACCTAAATGAGCTTGGAAAAAAGTGTTACATAAAAATACTGATGTATGACAAATAGAACCTTCAATTAGGGTTGGGGCATACTTGCTAATGAGGAGTGATACCCTCTGAAACCATCTGCTTTTGTATTTGCAGGTTTTAAGAGAGAGAACCTCTGCAAGTAATGGAGAAACTATCACCAGCCTACCTATCAGTATTCCTCTCAGCACAGTGCAGCCCAATAAACTCCCTGTTAGTATCCCTCTGGCCAGCGTAGTCCTACCTAGCCGTGTTGAGAAGGTGGTGAGTAAGGGATTGTCAAAACTTTCCATCCCTAACTAAAACCAGATTGGGGTGTTGTACATTTGAGGCAGGATCATGACGAGGCTGCTGCAGTAGGTTAGTTTAATGCCTTTGGAGATACTCCAGCTGGATCTCTGCCCCCAGGAACTTATATTCTAAATGTATGGCATGCAAAAAAGATGGTGGAGTCTGGGTTAGATGCTGGGGAAACTTGGCTGTGAATTAGGTTTGCTAATCTTGGCTCAACCACTGACTCTGGTGGTTGGTTAGTGGGCAAGGGAACTTCTCTGCTTCTCTTTGCCTGTTGGTAAAGTGTGGCTCTTTGCAGAGATGTCAGGGGATGAACTTTTGTTGAAAGTATAATATGGAAAGTGTGAGTTGCTGCTGCATAGTTAACTTTTTAACCTTATAATTGAAAGATCTTTCAGGGCCCTTTCAGATCATTAGCAGTTCTTTCTGTTACCATGTCAAATCCATGTTAGTGTGTGCTTGGAAGGGAGAAGCTCGAAAAGGCCAGTGGTAGAAGACAGCCCGGTGGCAGAAGGCTTCCCGTGTCCTCAGTGTTTTGACAAAGACAAATGCCGTAGGATTACTAAGGAGCCTGTTGCTTCCTTTTTATGGGAGACAAACTCGGAGTTGACCTAGATAGGTTCTCTCTCTGATAACTTGAATATGAGATATGGCACAAGGGCCATACCCAGCTGCAGTGTGAGCATGTAGTTGTGTTGTGGTTTTGTCAGCTGATGGTCTTGTAGTTGTAGGAGAATGTCCCTCTCTCTAGTTGGAGGCAGAGACAGCATCTCCTCACATAGAGGGAAGGTAGTGTCAGTCACAGAAAAGTCTTTCAGCCCTCTGCTCTTATGCATTTGGAGGCAAATGCTTCGTGATATCTTTCTTTGGAAGATGTCTCTCGACAGTGACACCTGTGATGGCTCAATGTATGATAGCTCTGCTGAAGGTTGGTGACTTGCATCATCTGATCATCTGGCTTTCTGCATTAGGTGTTCAGCATGGAGACTTCCTGAGAACAAGAGTACACACTGATGACACCAGGCCCCAAGTTTCAGTGCATCACTTATCCATGTGGAAAGAGCTGTCTATGGAAACTGAGGCCACAGTTCAGCCTGCTGTTTTCTTTCCCTCTATGCTAGTGTTAGGGATGACGTTTCCACATTGTACTCTGGATCTAAGCTCTTTGCAGCAGGGGACCATGTTTAGACATGTCGACACTCCTGATTCATGACTGTGGCACTTACAGGCTACCACAGTACAAATAATACTTATTTGTGTCCCCTAATTAGGCTAAATGTTGGACAGTCCAAACTGCTAACCCACTTCTGGGAATGCTTTTAGGTCTTGTCTAATCCATGATTCTTAACTGTGGTGTAGCTGGAATAGTGGTCAAACATACTTAAGCAGGCTTTTAGCTTGAATTATAGTTACAGTAGAAACAGAAACCAAGCATAGACCATGGTGGATATTTTAAGCTCATGTTTTGCATTAAGGTGTACGATCATTTTTCCTCCTTGGTGTGGTTTTCTGAGCAAAGGTTTACAGTTGTCTTAACTACTCAGTTTCTCATCACATAAAATGCATAAATGGTAAAGTTCTTTGTGCTTTTGGAGTCTGTTACAGTTAATGAGAAATGAGTAGTTCTTGGAAGCAAACTGAAGCGTAGTATTAAGGACCATATGTAGTCTTAGGTTCTTCGAGGGCTTTAATTTCTGTACTATCCTTTCATGGCTGTTACAGATCTTAAGCATTGATTTCCATCCCTGTTGCCAGACATTTTTCTGGTGGGAGGTATATTCATTGCGTATCAGCAATGCCATCTTTGGGATGATCAGATAAAACCCCATGACACACAACAGTGCAGTCTGCTGCCGGGCTCTCACCAGTAGTGTAAGTGTGACCTTCAGGGATAATTGGACTGTAGTATGCAATGATGCATGGGGATGGAAAGATTGTTACATGCTAGGATATGGAGTCACCGCAGCTCATTTAGTATACCCAGCAGAAAGTTGCCAGGGTGCCTGCTGGTTTAAAGACATCAGTGCAGTATAGAGTAATGAATTTTTCACAAAACATGCAAAGTCTCCATAAGATTTGGGGTATGCAGAGTCTATTAAAGAGAGCTCAGTGAATGCACATCTATTCTATGAGATCAGAAGCTGCGGAACGTACTTCCTGGAATGATGTGGCTGGTTTTTCTCCTCTCTCCAGAGAAGCACACCAAGGTCCAGTTCATCAGAATAGAGACTCATCAACACTTGAAAAGCAGATTGGTGCTAGTTCTCATAATGGCATAAGCAATGCTGCTGGAAACAAGCCACTGGCTTTGGCTACCTCAGGTAACGCATTTTCCCTGGAGACTTCCAGTCGTAGTGATAACACCATCTATTATGCATGAGCTTTTCAGCACTTGCAGCCCAGAGCGGTGGATCTCACCTGCTGGGCCACTAAGATGGATAAGATGGAGGCTGGAAGGAGCGTCAGCCAATTCCCCAGCCCTGGAGTGTGCCAGCTGGCTCCCTCCCAAATCAGGAGCTAGCTGCTAGTACGTGTAGGGCTAGTTCTCAGGTTACCTGAGCTAGCTCTGCATAAGCTTAAGAACAGAAAGAAGCAGTGTTACTGCTTTGCCTCTCAGCAGAGCTATTTAGCTTGTTCACAGTGCTGCACTGAGACAGCTGCTTTATACTACTTCCCGTTCCAGCTGGATTACTTCTGTTTTCTGGATTACGTGTGGTATGCTCCGACTTCCTGTGGTCAGCTGCAGGATTGAAAAGGGGGAAAACCACTGGTCTAGAGCACCTGGGATGCAGTGCGCTGGATTTGCCGTGCATTTTCTATCAATTTTCTATTCTCGGCTTGAGGAGGAAGGGTGGAGGTGGATTAGGGTTGAAATAAAGCTGAGAAATAGGATTAAGTGAGGAGCAATATATTATTGAAAACATGTTTAGGCTTCAAAACAAAAGAATTGCAACCTATAAACAATTTTGGATGGCATGCTCTTGTTGGTTGGTTCTGAAGTCCCCCTTAGGCTCTCTTCCAGCATCTGTATATATAAAATTTACAACATCCAATTTCATACTTGCTTACGGTCCCCTTTTTTTAGTCTTGGTTCTCTTAGCTGTAGTCTCTGTAAGAAAAAAAAAAAAAAAAAATACAGGCCAGGTTGTGCCTCTGGCTCCTCCTCTCATAACACACAAAGAAAGGATGGAACAGATGATCCCCTTGCCTTTAAGGAAATTCTAGCCCCAGCCATACCATTGAATATGGACCCTGTTGCTTAAGCAGAACGTCAGCTCCTGAGCACCTTCCCTAACAAAACCCTGCCAGAGATGAAGTCAGCAAGTTCTTTGGGCCTTTTTCAATGGTATGGGAAGCCAGCTGGGGATTTGATGACTGGTTCCAAAAGTAGGGAGCTTAGCAAACCCCCCATCACTTACACAGCCCATTCCAGGGGCAGGAACTGTTTCCCAAAAAAGTAAAACCAACCTCTGGGGAAAATACTAAGGCTTCTTAAGGCAAATGGCCCAAGTGAGCACAATTTTTAGCTAGCCTGTAGGAAGCTGTCCTCACTAGACTTCTTCCTTCATGCTCACCATCTGTGGGGGCCTATGGTAGGATTTCTCTCAGCTTCTTCTGAATTCAGTAGTCATTCCTGGATCAACAGAAGGGTGTTGCAGAGTATCATTGGGTTTCCACAGTTCATAGCTATCTCAGAAGATAACTCTTAAGTTCATTGTAATCTATTACAAAAGCTACCTAATAACCTAAATTCATCTCTTTTTTTTTGCTTCTCTCCCACTTCCCTGCCTTGCTGAAGATCTGCCAGTCATCTCGTTGCTTCCTTTTGGTTAGGTTGTGGAGGAGGGAAAGGTGGTATTGGTGGCAGGGTCTGTGTCCCTCTTTAGAAAGAAATGGATTGCTGCTGTATGGCTCAGTGGGTAGAGAAATGAGCTGGGAGCAGAGGATCCTGGTTGTCATAGCTCAAGATGAGCTTCTTAGATTGAGCAAGGCACTTGAGTAATATTAACCAGATTAAAAACAGGATGCTTCCCTAGTACTCCCAAATGTTCCTGAATCAGCAAAAAGGAGCCATGTGAGATGACGAATTTAACTTAATTCACCAGCTCACATACAACCATGTTCTTGGCTTTTACTGTGTAAAGAGCAGATTTACAGAATTAACTGTATAATTTACAGCTACCAAATGCTCTGCAGTTACTGCTGTGACAGAATGGCCCGCTGCTCTAGGATGGAAAAATTCATGAAACACTCAATAGCTACTCCAGAAACGTAGCACTGTAAGGTATACATGATTGCTTCTGCTGAGTGATACTTTCCGTTTCAACAGGTTTTTCTTATTCTTCTGGCTCCGTGGCAGTCAATGGAACTCTTTCAAACAGCCCAGCCCAACTTAACCATAGTGTTGATCAGGCAGCTCTGGACGACTCTGGGAGTCTGTTTAACTCGGTAGGGTCTCGGAGTTCCACTCCACAACACCCTTTGCTAATGATGCAGTCACGGAACTCGGGGCAAAACTCCCCTGCTCACCAGCACTCAACAAGCCCCAGGTTAAACGGAGCCTCCCAGAGCCTGGTAGGGGTATTGCAGTATGCAGATGCTCAGAAGATGTTTGCTGAAGGAACAAAGGGGGATCTTCAGTCTGATGCAGCATTTTCAGATCCCGAGAACGAGGCCAAGAGAAGAATCATCTTTACAATCTCTCCTAATACAGGAAATGTAAAACAATCTCCTTCCAACAAGCACAGTCCCCTGACCTCGAGCATTCGGCTGGACTGTGGTCAAGCATACGTGCAAGATGGGAAGAAACGAGGTCGAAGGAAGAGATCTTCTACTGGGAATCTCAGCGTGAGCTCTGGGGTGTCCCCCAAACGCAAATCCTTACCAACAGTGGCTGGACTGTTTACTCAGCCTTCAGGGTCACCACTCAATATTAACTCCATGGTAAGCATGAAACTGAAGAATTATGATTTGGTGAAGTTGGGTTTAAGGCATGGGGCTTTTTGCATTGTTCTTGGAAGCTTACCTCTAGGATGGGTGTTGAGAATTACAATGAACTGCCTAGTTCTTTAAAGTGAACTTATCTTCCCTATGAAAAAGTTTTAAATAGAATATTTAAAAACTGTTCTCATTGCCTAAGTCATCATGGAATGCAGTAGTGTGTCGTCTTATCTGACGTGGATTTGTGTAGAGGTAAAATTCTTGAGGGACTTAAAACCTTCTCTGGGCGCACAACTGCCACTAGGACTCTACCAAAGCATGTGCACTCTGACAGCTTCTGGTGACTGTACAGCTCCACCAGGGGCAGAGAGCAAAGAGCACCCTGCATAGGCCAATCTTGGAAGATGTTGCCTGGTAGAAACACTTTGTCAGCTTCCAGTTATGGTAGAAACCTTATTTAGGTCCATGTCTCTGTTCTGCTGTCAGACTGAAAAGGTTCTGATGCTACTGGGGAGCTGTGTATGGACATGCAGGGTGAGGGGGGAGGGTTGATTATTTTTTGCAGTTTTTTTGGTTGTCAGAATTTGAGTTCTGCCTGCAAAACCGTGGTGAAAACCAGAAGTTAATAACTGAAGTCCCAGTAAATATTACTGCAACATGCACAACAAATGTTTCTGATTTGGCACCTTGTGGATTCCACTATTGTGATTTGCTCTTTGATTTGTTATTGGTATGTAAGAAGAAATGCTTCTGCCCATTTTTGTCTGCTTTTAACCATCTCATTTTATCTCTAAAGTCAGATACTCCAAGCATGAAGGCTCAGAAAGGCAATTAAGAATTGTGCAGGGCTTTTAGGTTTGTGAAGCTGAAGCACAGCATGCCTCTTTGTGTTGCACGTGTAGCTAGTCATGGAACTAAATGATGAGAGAGCAAATATCCTATCTTTTACTGAAAGAATATTTTCATCCTTAACTTTGTTTTTTTTCCCTCCCTATCCCAGGTCAATAACATTAATCAGCCTTTAGAAATAACAGCCATTTCCTCCCCTGAAAACTCCCTGAAGAACTCTCCTGTTCCCTACCAGGACAATGACCAGCCCCCAGTGCTGAAAAAGGAGAAGCCCCTCATTCAGACCAATGGCATTCATTACTCGCCGCTGACATCTGATGAAGAGCAGGGGTCTGAAGATGAGCACAATAGTACCAGGTGAATACAGTGATGTAGATCTCAGGCCTGTCTGAAAAAAAATCTGTTTTTGAGTTAGGGTAATGCGTGTAAAGTTTGATCTGTTGGATCCTTTTCCTTGGAGAATGATCTCACTGACCCATAATACTCGCTAAGCTAGAGCTTTTGTTTTCAGCATGTGCACACCCCAAAATAGGAAAGGTGTTCAGAAAACGGAACGACTGTAAGGAACCTGTTCCGCTAGCTGTGCTGATCAGTTGTGTTCCCTTCGCAACATTTTGCAGGAGTGTTGGCACCAGTACATAAATGTACCATGTTTGGGGAACTTCTGAGTATAGAAATTCCCCGTTCCATTTTGGCTGCTTGCATCAGTTCTTTACCTCCTGCCCCAAAATGTTATTTATAATTGCTCTGTATTGTAAAACATGTGCCATGTTCTTACCATAGTTATGGTAATAATAATTCTTGGGGGTCTGAGCATTGGAAGAGTATAAAGATGCAGTACAAATGTAACTTATCAACTGCAAACTTGGCACCAAAGGAGGGAAAAGAGCAGTGAAAAGTTGACCACATGTGAATCGCAGTAAAACTCCATGCCTGCTGTGTAAAATAACCTTTCTTTTTTTTTTAAATTAGAATTGAGAGAAAAATTGCAACAATATCATTGGAAAGCAAATCTCCACAAAAGACTGTTGAAAATGGTAGGTGTGGGGAATATTAATTGTTTAAAGGCATTCACAATGCATGTGAGGATGGCCTCTCTGCTGGCCCATAGGTTGTCAGGTGATTGCAGGCTCCTTGGGTGGAATCATGTACTGTGTATCGGATCAGAAATCCACAGATATTCCTTTGAAACTAGAAGTTTGTGCATGTGAGATCCTTTAGGCAGATTGCTTTCATCAAGTTGCAAACCTTGCATCCATTCTGTTCATAGCTGGTGGCTACAAAAGCCCCTTTAAATTTGTGGCCACAGGTTGCAGTCTTGCTTGTTTGCACCTGGAATAGAATGGTTGGTGGAGTTGGAAATGGTGATGCACTTCACAGTTAAATTTCTTCCTAGACATGAAGGCCTGAGACTCTATCTATCTATCATGGGCAGGTGGGGTCTTTGATACGAAGGTGGATGGCAGTGCAGATTACACTAACACAGAACTTTTGAGGTGTGTTAAACTAAAATTGAAGGTGATTTGAACAGCTGTTTTAAACTGCTTCTCATCAAAAAGTAGAATAAATTATTAAAGTGAGTCAGTTGTTGAACCAATTCTACTTACTAAAGATTAAGTGAATTCTGTTCACTCATGCTTGCAACTCTGCCTTCCAAACTAGGTGGCAGTTTAGCTGGAAGAAAACAAGCGCAAACCAGCGAGAACATGAATAGCAGTAAATGGAAGTCTACCTTTTCACCAATATCTGACATCAACCTGACCAAAACTACAGATAGTCCCTTGCAGGCTGTTTCATCTCTGAGCCAGAATTCACTGTTTGCCTTCAGGCCATCCTCTGAGGATGGCATGGCCATTGACAGCAAGATCACGGCACATGCGAGAAAAAATGTCACCATGCCCTCCTCTGGAACAGATGGACTCAGCCCCAACACAAATGCTGCAAATGGATTCACGTACAACGGTGGACTGACGACAGATATTGGTTTACACAGCTTTATTGATGGTGCTTCTCTTCCTCATAAGACTTCAGATGTGACTTCCCTTAATTCCTCTCTGAGTTTTCAGTCTCAGCGGAGCAAAGACTTGGGTGTCTCAGAGACAAATCCCTTTTTGAACAAGAGGCAGCTTGAAGGCCTAGGCAGCATGAAAGGGGAAGACTTAAATCGGTCAGGGGTCAAAAGCAAAGAGATGAGCGAATTAAACATTCGTACAGGGGGCTCTTCAGAAAAAAGCTCTTTGCAGCATAATGGAAAGGCCAGCAAAGGACGGGACCGAGATGTGGAGTTTAAAAATGGCCACAACCTTTTCATTTCTGCTGCTGCTGTATCTTCGGGTGGCCTTCTAAATGGCAAAAGCCTTTCCACTGCTGTTTCCTCAGCAGGCAACCCAGCATCTGTTCAGACACACCATCCTTTCTTAAACACTTTGACCACTGGATCACAGTTCCCCCTTGGCCCCATGGCCTTGCCAGCAAACCTCAACTCGGTGACGAACTCTTCAGTATTGCAGTCTTTATTTAATACAATGCCAGCTGCTGCCAGTCTGGTCCACGTGTCATCAGCTGCAACCAGACTGACTAATTCTCACACTATGGGGAACTTCTCTTCTGGGGTTACAGGTGGAACAGTTGGAGGTAGGCAGAGCTCTGTTTCTCTGGTATAAGGCAGGGCTAGAGGAAAGGATGGCAATGCCTCTCCAGGTATGAAACCCTTTCGCTTCTGCAGGCAGTGGAGGAGGTCCACCCAGCATAGCCCATGTCTC